GACAAAGTGGCATTGGTTTACTGGTGGTCACTTCAACACAGGCTCATCTTGTCCAACCCGATGGTCCAAACCGTGTTTTCCATGTGTCCAACTGGCATTCAGGTTTATTTTTCTGTTTTCTCTTTTTTTTAGGTAATAGTTTTATTTTTATTTTTATCTTTTATTATAATTTTTCCTTTACCATTTAGTACCCTTTTACCTCCTGCACCCACAGTCACCACACTGTTGTCCACATCCATGAGTCCTTTTTAAATTTCATAATGTTCACAAGCTGCATTTTGGGTTGCTGTTCATACTGACGTTCTGCATCGCCACCACCTACCAAGTCAGCCATCCACAGCACGTGCTGACACAGCATTCTCTCTCTCCTGGAGAACAGGTAGGACACATGTTGAGTAAAAGCGGACCTAGCACCTTGCCCACAGCTGAGTTCCCCATCAGTTCCCAGCTCCCACTGTGTCCCATCTCTTCTAATGTGCGAGGTTGCTCACATGCTGGACAATGGGAATGGATTTTATCAGTAAGATAGGTCATGCTACTGTTTTCTAAAATGAAGACAGATTGTTTTAATGCCCATCATTTTGTTTAATTGTGAATTCTTCATGCACTAAATTTGTAATTCTGTTAAAATCCTTTCTAAGCTTCCCTGGCATTTCTTATTTGACTTAAAATAATAGGTTACTTCACATGTTTTATTGTTGTTTTGAAGATATGTATAGATGTTCCTTCTCTCCCCATTTATTCTATTTATTTAGGAGAAGTTGAAGATATTATTATACTCTTTTTTTAGTTTTTATTTTATTTTTAATATATTTTATTGATTATGCTATTACAGTTGTCCTATTATCCCCCTTCATTCCCCCTCCACCCTGCACACCCTCTCCCACCCACATTCTCCCCTCTAGTTCATGTCCATGTGTCATAAGTTCTTTAGCTTCTACATTTCCCATACTATTCTTGCCCTCCCCCTATCTATTTTCAGCCTACAATCTATGCTACTTATTCTCTGTCCCTTTTCCCTCTCTCTCCTCCTCCCACTCCCCTGTTGCTAACCCTCCATGTGATCTCCATTTCTCTGGTTCTGTTCCTGTTCTAGTTGTTTGCTTAGTTTCTCTTGGTTTTGCTTCAGGTGTGGTTGTTAATAATTATGAGTTTGCTGTCATTTGAACTATACATGTTTTTTTTATCTTCTTTTCTTAGATAAGTCCCTTTAACATTTCATAAAATAAGGGCTTGGTGATGATGAACTCCTTTAACTTGACCTTATCTGAGAAACACCTTATCTGCCCTTCCATTCTAAATGAAAGATTTGCTGGGTAGAGCAATCTGGGATACAGGTCCTTGTCTTTCAGGACTTGGAATACTTCTTTCCAGCCCCTTCTTGCCTGCAAGGTCTCTTTTGAGAAATCAGCTGACAGTCTGATGGGAACTCCTTTGTAGGTGACTGTCCCCTTATCTCTTGCTGCTTCTAGGATTCTCTCCTTCATTTTTACCTTGGCTAATGTAATTATGATGTGCCTTGGTGTGTTCCTCCTTGGGTCCAGCTTCTTGGGGACTCTCTGAGCTTCCTGGACTTCCTGCAAATCTATTTCCTTTGCCAGAATGGGGAAGTTCTCCTTTATTTTTTGTTCAAATAGGTTTTCAATCTGTTGCTCTTCTTCTTCCCCTTCTGGTACCCCTATAATTTGGATGTTGGAACATTTAAAGATGTTCTGGAGATTCCTAAGCGTCTCCTCATTTTTTTGAATTCTTGTTTCTTCATTCTTTTCTGTTTGGTTTTTTCTTCTTTCTTTCTGGTCCACTCCATTGATTTGAGTCCCAGTTTTCTTCCCATCACTATTGGTTCACTCTGCATTTTCCTTCATTTCGCTTAGCATAGCCTTCATTTTTTCATCTAATTTATGACCAAATTCAACCAATTCTGTGAGCATCCTGATCACCAGTGTTTTGAACTGTGCATCTGATAGGTTGGCTGTCTCTTAGTCACTTAGTTGTATTTGCTGTGTGGCTTTGATCTGTTCTTCCACTTAGGCCTGTTTTTTTTTTTTGTCCTGTCACGCACATTATGTATGACGGGTGGAGCCTTAGGTGTTCACCAGGGCGGGGCAACCCAGTGGCTGGTTTGTAAAGCTGTTGTGGGGGAGGGGATCCAAAAGGGAACAAAGGGGATTGCTCCTCTCTTCATGGGACTTAAGTCCCTTCCGCTGCTTCCCCCAAACAAACTGGGCCTTTCTGGTGCTAATTCCTGTGTGGGTGGGCTTGTGCACATTCTAGGACTCCATGGGTGTCTCCAACACATTCTCCTGTGAGGCTGGGAGTCTCTCCCTGCTCCTCAACCCCCACAGGTGTTTCCAATCAGTGCCCCAAGGCACTATTTCCCAGCACTGGGACTCTGGGTTGCTCTCAGTGCCTTGCTTCACAATCTCCTCCTTGCTGGGTCTGCCAGTTGCCACCCCACGCCCCGAGGTCTGTCAGCCGCCACCTGTGTACCCAGGGTCCACCCGCTGCGGTCTTGCGAGCCCAGGATGCCTTACACTCCCTGTCCCACTGCTGTTTGTGCTGGGACCCCTCTCTGCCTGGCTGCCCGACTCTGCCCCTCCTACCAGTCTGGATGAACGTGTCTATTTTAATTCTTTAGTTGTCTGACTTCCATACAGTTCAATTTTCTGCCAGTTCTGGTTGTTATCCTGTTTCTCAATTGTTGTTGTCCCTATCTTGTTTGTGCGAGGAAGCACAGTGTGTCTACCTACATCTCCATCTTGGCCGGAAGTGCCTATACTCATTTTTTTTTTTTTTACTTTTCGTGTTGATCAACAGAAACTTTGTAAATGATTTTTAGTTCCTTAGATTTTCCTCGGTATTTGAAATTTGTATCACAATGAAAGTTGAGTAGATCCCTTAAATGTTTTGGACCTGTGCGTTCTGAAACCATAAACTGTATATGCCCAAGTTTCTTTCCATTTTAAATCAAGAATTAATTATTTTATTAAGACATACCAAGGGGGTTAGCACCATTTTTTTGTTTCCTCTATCTATGTATGTTTACCTATTTATTTCTTGGGGAGGGGGCTCCTTATACATTCAGGTGATTTTTCTCAAAAAACTTTATGAAACAAGCACAGAAGCCCCCCAGCTCCCGCAAATAAGCATTTTGATGCTGGAATGTACACAGCGTATTACAGTCAGACTTTGTTTCCAACTCACTGGGGAACCCCCACCATTCCTTAGTGTTGCTCAGCAGCCCCTGCTTTCAGAACTAGCAGACAAACGCCTTGTCAAACCCCTCTCTAAAGTGCCAGTTCTAACCTCTCAGCCCACTTTTTTAACTCCACCTCCACCCACCTCTCTTGAAACAGATGACCTCCTAATGCTTTGCTGACACACCTTGGATTCCACACACTTCCACCTGAAACTTTTCCACTTCCTTTTTCTCTCCTTCCCTCAGCGTTGTGAGAAAGCTAGATTTAATTCTCTTTTATAAGGCCCAACTTCTCCTGCCCCAACAAAACCCTGCAGTTATTCCATACACGGTATGTCATTTTTCTGCTTTCACTTTGTAAGACTTTTTTGTTTTATTAACATCCTGCTTCCTTCCCTAGCAGGTATCCCCAAGTGAACCCCCAGGTGGATACCCCTGTGTACACAGACCCTATTAAAAAGAATTTGCCTTGCCATTCAGACTCCTCTCCTCTCTCCTCCTCTTTCTCTGCTAACCCCCACCCCCACCCCCCACCTTTGCCACCACCATGCACACACCCTAACCTCTAGCCTGGCCTCTGTCTGCTCCCTCCATAGGAACTGCCCTTGGAGTAGCCAGTGATCTTCTAGGTAACAGGGCCAAAAACAACTTGTTGTTTCTGGTACTGTAGCACCTCTGCAATGTTTTACACCCCCTTTTACACATTTTAAGGTCTGTTGATAATTTTTTACACATTCTTTTGGGGCTCTTAATCCACTTCAATTGTATGATATTACTGTCTCAGATTGGCTTTCTACTCTTCCAGATATTCCCTATTGCTCTCCTTCCATGGTTCTTCTCCCTCACCTACCTCTTAAATGCATGCACTCTCCATTTCTTCAGTTATTCAGCAGTGCAAGGAAGGGGCCCAGCCTCTGGGTGGGTCAGGGACTCGATGGCCCAGTCTGCCTCTCTGGACCTCAGGTCCTGCCCCAGCCTCTTGGGGCTGCATGTCATCCCCTGAGGAGTTCATGTTCTTTCTCACCCTTTTCCTTGGATTGCGCTGTCCCCTCACAGAAATCCCGCCTCTTGGCCTTTCTAAATTCTTCAGTTAAAATTCTCTTTAAGGTTTTACTGATTCCTCTGTCAGAATTTCTCTAGTTCTCAGTTTAAAAAGTCAGAGTGTTGGTCCTTCATATACTGTGTTCCCCCACAAGTGAGTTGGCCATTCCCGTTCATCTCCCACTCCGCCTTTCTAAGCACTGCTGGTTGGCTCCCCAGTATTTGGTGAAATCCTTGACTTCGTTTTATGCAGATGCTTCTACAATCAGTAACATAAAATATACTTCACAAAATATTAGCATGGTCTTTTAATGAAAAGTGTATACAGGTTCCAAGGAATACAGAAAAGTCATGTGAGCAGAAATACCCAATTTAATCAAGGATGTTTTAAGAATTTTTATAGGATAATGAAATAAGCTTGAAAATAAGCCCTGGGGCATGCAGTGAGCACACTGGAGCTCCAAAAAGACGCGTGAAGGAAGAGTGAGAAACCATCACTCTCCTCTCGTTCTTTATACGTGCAGTACGGGATTTACAGCCACAGAAAGCCTTTGGAAGCTATTTAATGACAACCAGGTCCAATTCCAAACTTTTGAACTTTCTCTCTATGGCTGCTACTTTTTGTTCTCTTTCTAGTTTTTCTTACATCCTCATTTTTTCTCAGTTTCATACATTATCATCATGTCCTTACAGAAAGGTAAAGGGTATATTTTAAATAGTGTCTTCACTGAAAGAGTATTGCATTTCCTTTTTGTAACAG